GTATTAGAAACTATTTCGGTAATTTTGTACTTTCGCAGTCCTCTCGTTATTTGGCTCTAGAAAATTGAGAATTCATCCGATTTCGATGATTTTTTTAAATCTTCGTCTTTATGGCGGATTCATGGGGGGGTTTTTCCTTTTAACCGGGGGGGTTTTTTCCCCCGCTTTCCTCGATACGGGCGCGGGGCTCCTACTTCTGAGTGGTTTATATACGAAGGAGATGGCGGGGTCTATTCAAGTCATAAAACTTTAATAAATCTTGAGGTGAGATATTTTCCATATTTTTTCCATGAATCCGTCAATGTCATGAATAAATCCATAATGAAGATTTAAAAAAAACATCATCGAAATTCGATGATTTTCGATTTTCTAGAGCCAAAAACGAAAGGATCGCGAGTAGGAGTATAAAATTACTATTATTTTTATCAATGTATTAATCTAATATAAAAAAGTTAATATTTGTTTGTTAGTATTTTATGCCCCGCCATACCGTTCATCACATTGCGATAAAACTTTGTCAACATATTGCTTGCACCTCCGCGAAGGTTATAGACATAGTTGGAACTGGTAGGTGGCGCTATTGTAGAATCCAGATATCATCGTGTGAGGCGGGGGCAGCTCGCTAGTCTGATATATATAAAAAAATAATATTTGTTTGTTCGTATTTAATGCGCCGCCATATCGTTCATCGGATTGCCGTAAAACTTTCAACGTATTTCTTGCACTTCCACGAAGGTTATAGACGTAGTTGCACCCGGTAGGTGGCGCTGTTGTAGAATCTATATATCACCTGTGCGAAGCCGGGGCAAATTGCCAATATAGTAATAAAATTTTTATTTATTACGCTGTTTAACATGAAAAAAAATTATTTTTATCTAAATAATACATTAAAAATATGGACATATAATTTTTATAAAAATTAATTAATTGGATCTTCAACATTACTTTCATCAATTTTATGAAATCTAAAATTATCTGAGTGATTTTTCTTCATCCCAAAAGTGCCCAAGTTGCCTAAAGAACTTTTCACTTTAAAAATATTAAAGTACCGGGCTTTAAAGAGAAACTAGTTTGAACACTACACCGCTCTTTCTTTTCGTAATCCTTCGTGAAGCAGCTTTTAAAATTACCTCATGTTAAAATATGCATTGGATATAATATGCACATTTATGAAGTATAGAATAAAGTAACGTTGTACACATATATAACATTAACATAATATGACCCCGTTTCTAATAGAGAATACCCAGAATCGTAAGTAGTATTATGTAAAGTGCCGCATACTGACACTGATTTTTGCCGAGTGTAAGAATATTTCTCTTGGCGCTATTGCACGAATAGTGGGACCATGTTTTTATATAATTATAAACTTAAAATTATAATTCCATATTTATTTTTTAATACTTTATTTACATAGAATATAATAATATTTATAACAATAAAAGAAAAATTGTATATAATTATACTATAAACAAAAAACACTGACTGCGTTTCTTTACTGAATGGCTAATAATAATAAATAAGGTAACCTAAGTAAGGTTACCTTTTTATTACGATATGTCCTCCAGACCGTTATATGACTGCCTCGTTGGTCTAGTGGTTCTTGTAGTTTGACCGCTGATCGTGAGGTCCTGGGTTCGAGATTCGAGATGCTGGTATTCTGTTAGAGCGTGGTCCTTCCCCGTTCGAGCCGACCCATTCGTGCTACCACTATACTACTAATGACTGCCTCGTTGGTCTAGTGGTTGTAGTAGTGCGACTGCTGATCACGGGGTCCTGGGTTCGAATCCCGGGTCGGGCCAAAAAAGGATTAATTATTGAGTTTTTCCGTCAAGAAATTCTCAGTAGCAGCCCGGTCTCAGGAAGTTGGCGGTGACTCTCCTCCGTGCCTCGGAAAGCACGTAAAACCGTTGGCCCTGCGCCTGATCTCTCTCCGGTTGTGAAGGTTTACCGCCCCATCGTATTATGAGAGTGACAGAATAGAGAGTGCACCTGTGTTTCCGCATACACTTGGGCACTATAACCATGTCCTGCGCTGATGGCTAGCCTCCGTTGAGGCGGGCCGCCGTGAACCCGTAATTCGGTCTGGAGGACAATATTATTATAATAATTTTATTACAACATTTGGCTACGGAGTAGTCATTATAACGTTTCATTTATTTATGGTTTATTTTAAGCATTTATAACGTTAAAATTTAGGAGCGGTTCGTAAAATAAAAAATATGATAATAAGTAAATAATAAAATAAACAAATACTCACATCAATTTTATAACAAAATTTAAAATAACACTTAATTGGAAAGTTATTAAAAGTACGTTAAATTAATAGAGGTAGTTATTGATCGTTGGGATATTCTTATATCATGTATGGTTACCTTAGTGAGGTGTGTAACTGTAATGACTTGAGGTTTAATGGTCACAGTAGGTACGTACTTTGAATGGCAGCCAAGATTGTTTAATCACCCTATAACCTCTTTCTTGCAATATCGATATAACATTATTAATATTTATAACTAAGAAACCATTAGAAAAATCGTATTTTCATCTGAAAATTCAGTATTCAGAAAAAGCCGGTATTCAGAAACAATTTCGTGTTTAAAACACAAACCTCACAATGTCAAATTAGGCTTTTTGATAAATAAGGCCACAGATGCGTACCAACTCGAATCTTCGGTTAGCGTCATTCAACTTACGAACACAACATCATTAGCAGCTATCTCACACTGGTATTTTATGAGAGCCTATTCCTTCCCTGGTCAAGCTGCCCCATTTTGGTTGCAGGCATGATGCACTGTACCGTGGCTCCACCACGTATGTATATGTAAGTGCAGAACAATACATTAGACGGTAATATAGCCTTGAAAACTGTTGCGTTTAAGAAGCACTAGTGCAGAAACGCATTTCTATCATATCAGATTGTGATATGCACCAATTATACTGAAAACAACCTTTGCGAGAAACACATAGTGCATTAGGCAATCACGTAACTATTAAATATATTCGCGCCAAGTTTCATTACTTTAAAAGCGTAATTTGTCAATAAACTGATGTGGGTCGATTATTACGCTTTATTACCGTCTTTTGTTTATGAGTAATAAAAAATAAAATTGTCTTATTGTGTCGCAATGGGCAAATTGTTTCATTATTTTTTTGTCCTCGCACACACTTTTACTTTCATGTAACATAACCGACTTCTTCTGGGCACTTTTATTTTGTACATTATATTATGTAATTTAAAAATAAAAATTATTATGAGTCTATTGATTGTGTTTTTGATTAAAAACATAATTAACTAGGATACATTTAAGACGTTTTTCGAAAGATGTATTTATTTAACATAAAAATGTGTGTCCTAAAAGTAAAGTCATTTAAGACATAAACATGGATTCTTTATTACCGATAAAGAAAATAAAAGAATGTTTATAATCAATAGAGAAATCAATAAACAAACTTAAGGAATAGAAATTTAAAAAAATGAATGCTTCCACCCCACTTTCTTATTAGGTCCCTTAAAGCATTTATTAATTTAGAAAAATATGTAGCCTACATAGGTTACTCCTTTTTCGCCTATTTTCACGAATTATCAAAACAGAGTGAATGTTTGAGTTGGCATACTGTAACTCTAATATCTAAGGTTTGCTTTACAGATGAAGCTTTAGGGAATAGCGGATATTAAAGTTAAGTCAACATTCACATGGAGTGAAATGTAGTCAAAATAGAATGATGTAATGAAAGATACGGATTGCCGTTAGCTAGAAGTAACTAAAACCGGTTGTGGTTTTTGACCATTTACTAGTCACTCATGACGCCTCGTATTTTTTCGTAACCTTTTAATGTTGAATTCGAATTCAAATGTCTTGTTCAGTATGTGATTGGAGATAATAAAACTGTTATATTAAAACTTTTAGCGTATTATGAGGTTGTAATAAATTAAGTTAGTTCTCTTATTAATTATTCGGTGCACAATGACAATTTCAAGTTAACTTTAAAGAGTATTTGTCTTGTATTGTAGTACATTATTATACATGGTTAAACCACGCTACGTTTTAATAATGGCTTTAACACCAATGGCTCAACTTAAATGAGGATGTATTGTTATGGTCTATAAATGTCCTATGGCTGGACGTAGGCTTCCTCTCATTTCTGAGGGGGTTATGGAACTATTAGTTCACCGCGATTCACCAGAATGTGTAGTGAGACATGCGGGTTTTACACGACGTTTTTATTAATGAGCACTTGAAAATATTAACTAATATTTTCATTGATGCCGCCAGGGTTCTAACTCGGGTTGCTTGTGTTCTGGGAAATTGCGGAGAGTGCTTAACCCAATAATAAATAAAATTAATTAGCAGTATAATACTGCTGGGCTTTATATACATTTTAACTGCTAACGAGGTAATTCATCTCTAGGCCTCAGGTCTGACAATGCAGCTGTATTTTAATTTTAATGGAACATAGGTGAAGGTAGTGATGAAGGTAGAGATGTGTACTCTTTTATCGTTAATACTTGTAAAATAGAAATTAAAAAAGATATTTTTTTATACAATATTGATTATGATTATAAATAATGCTTACTGAGAGTGATTTTTCAGACTTTTTTACCACTGGGAATTAAATTTGGCCCTAGATATTTATTATGGAGTATATTTTTAAGAAATGAACGCAACAATTAACATTTCAATACATTTATTTATCAGCCTCAACTTTGAGTACTCTTTCGAGATACTCGTCATTTACATTTTAAACAAAGCAAATAAAAAGCTAAATAAGTAACAACAGATCGTTTACGGTCAATATATCTAAAGGTTGCTTGTCCGCGTTTGCGAAACTTTATTTTCTTCATTCGTCCTACCAATTGAGTACCGGTAATCACAACCATACAAACGTGAGCGAACAGCACCATTAACTAAACAATGAATCAAATACACTAGAAACTCTAAACGATCACATTTTGAACTTAGCCTATAAGGTACTGGGTGAGAGATTTAATGGAACTCGGCTCAGTGCCAGCCATGGTGCCCGTGATGCTCCTCTTCCTTTTTAAGGTAAATAGGATAATGCTCCTTAACGGGATAAGGCACCTCTTTGACTAAAGGAACTCCAACGTTCTTGTATACGGGGTAAGGCTTGTCAATAGGTACTTTGACTTCGTAGGGCACTCCCTTCTCGACGGTATAGGGAACCTTCTTGTACACGTCGTAGGGCTGAGGAACTGGCACCTTAACATGAACTGGGTAGGGCTTCTCAACTTCGACCTTGTATGGCCTGTCAACAGGGACTTTGACTTCATAGGGCACGTGTTTGTGAACAGTTACTGGGTACGGCTTCTCGACAGTTACTGGGTAAGGTTTAGGCACGTATACGTGGTATGGCCTATCGACTGGAACTTTCACTTCGTAAGGTACCTTCTTGATTACTTCGTAGGGTTGGGGTACTTTGACTTCGTATTTAACTGGTACGGGTACCTTCTTCTCAACGGTGTAGGGCTGAGGAACGGGTACTTTAACTTCGTAGGGCACTTTCTTCTCAACGGTGTAAGGAGTGGGCACTTTAACTTTGACTTCGTAAGGCTTGTCAACTGGTACTTTCACTTCATATGGGACCTTCTTCTCTACTTCGTAAGGTTCGGGCACATAGACGGGGTATTTGACGTACTCCTTGACGGGGTAAGGTACTTTCTTCTCAACGGTATAGGGCTGAGGATAGGGCACTTTGACTTCATAGGGAACTTTCTTCTCGACGGTGTAGGGAACGTGTTTCTCTACGGTGTAAGGTACGGGCACTTTCTTCACTACCTCGATGGTCTTGACGTGTTCGTGGTGATGACCCTCGTTGCTTCCGCTGGATATCGGTGTCCATGAATCGCCAGAACTGAATTCACCGCCTCCATGGCCTCCAAGGTTTTGGCCCTCTTGACCTCCGAAACCGTGTCCGCCCCCTTGACCACCGTAGCTGTATCCTTCGTTGCTGCTGAAGCTTTGACCTCCATCACCACCTCCGTTGCTATAGCTGTAGCTTCCGTGACCACTTTGGCCTCCTTCACCGCCACTATAGCTGTAACTTCCATGGCCGGAGCCGCCGCCATAAGAACCAATATCGAAGATACCGCGTTTCTCCTGCTTCTTATCTTCGGCGGCCGCTTGTTTTGTGGCACCTTTCTCCTCGCTTGCTAAGGCCACTACGGCCAGTGAGACGACCAATACAACCTGTGAACAAAAGAGCGAAGCTGTAATACTCGTATATATAATATATATATATTAGGGCAGTTTCGTTTTAAGAACTATCGTACTTGTCAATGTGAGAAAGACATGTGTTATTTTGCTCCGTTAATAATTATGGTGAACAAGAAAGACACTACATAAACCTAACAAACAATCGTTGAAACTTCATATTTACTTTTCCTTACAAAAATTACTTATGAAATACTATGATAGGTATACGATTATTTTGTGTATGAATTGTAAATCAACTTGAAATTATGAGAATGGGTTATTTGAACTCTTTTGAAAGGGTGAATATTGCCCTTCTCATGTCCAACTGACCTCATTTAATTGACTAACTTAACCAGCAGAACATGTCACTAGTTCTACTACCCATATTCAATTAAAATTTAAGATCTATAAAGGTCACACATAATATTCATAACACGGAGCCTCTCAAGTCATTATGTGTTAAGATTCAAATAATTATAAATGTATGTATTTGTTGCACAATACTAGTTGCATTGAAACTGCACTCCAGATCCCGTAAATTAACAAGTATATAGGCTGGTAAAACCTTGCTGCACGTTGTTGTTTAAAATAAATATTTATATAAAAAGAACAACTTTCTAACATCTAAGCTTCCAGCTTTATAAATTGAAACTTGTACAGGATTATGCTTTATTCATTATAATGACAGTGATCTGTTACCACCTGTGTAACATAATGGAAACCATTGGTTTACATTGCGTAACATTCTGTTTCCCACTTTCATATAATAATTGTTTGTAAGTTCAAATAAAAATGAAACTAGTAACAATTATGTAAAGAAGTGGTACGAAAGGAAAGATGCGAAAGATGTTCGCTGACGACGATTTCAACATTTTTAAAAACTTGAACTCGACCGTCTGGCTTACGGCCCAAAATAAGTCATTATTAAGACAAAGTTTTAAGTCCAGTCGGGACTGATATTGTTACCAAAAGACTTACTTAATATTTGACTTAATACTCAATGTATTCCCGTATAATCACAAAATCAAGATGGTGTGCACCTGACATTTTTTAACATCATCATCATTACAGCCCTTTACAAGTCTACTAGTGAACATAGGCGATCTTCGAGTGCCACAAAGCGCGGTCCTGAACCACGCACATCCATTCAATTCTGAATTTTTTAACAAGTCTTCACTTAGTAGTACTAGCTTGCAGGTGAAAAACCACGTCTTAGTTCCATTTCATTACATTCCCACAATATGTCCTCAATGGAAACAAAGTTTCGAAAAAGCAATGTTCGTAATCACCCGAATGCCCAACCGAGATGGATCTTTCGAATGGCCTAATTTTAAAAACGAAAATGTTTAATAAATTTAATCGCACAAGTTCAAAATAATTGTATCCCTATCATATTTCAATTACAATTCCCAATACAACAACATTCTTATTTGCATTGGTCTTGTTTACATTCAAAGACCGTATTAACACTCTCGCACTTGTCCGGGAAATGTATTACTCTAGTGAAAGTGAGATATATACCAGATCAAGGCTCCGTATTCTATCCGCATCGTAACTCGAATGATTAGTGACATACTGCTTACTCGGATAGCAGACTTAAAAATACAATGCACGAAGTAAATAGCAGTTGTAATTTTTAATCAGAAAATTATATCGGACGGTACCGATCGCCTTTAAAACATTAGCTTAGTAGTTAGGTAGCTTAACGATCTTAATAAAATTGCGTAATACATGTTTATACTCGGTATTATAATTTGGGTACATTCTTGTCGCAGTAAACGGTAATAAAATTTCATAACCGAGTATTTATATAACTGCACGCCATATATTTAAATAATGTCTGTTACAATCGTCTATTGAAACGTGTGCAGTTATGAAATTTTGCAGTTGAAATATCGTCTGGAGAATGTTTAAGAGATAAGTCGCTTCAGATTATCTCTGTCACGTCAGATACCATTATCTTTAAAATTTAAATTAATTTTATTTTTCTTTATTTATTAGATATATTATTTGAGATATTTTACTAGGTTGAATTTCGAAAATTTACTATCCTAATACTTTAAGCGAACAATTCTTAAATATATGAAACTAACAATTCATATGATTTTTTTAAATTATTAATTAGACCTACTTTCCAAGTTTATATAGATATGTGATATCCTTGATAAGAATATTTTTTATGATGCCGGGTGAAATTCGGCCTAAATTTTAATACCAGTTTTCTGCCAAGGAGTCCGGCTAGACACCCTTAGATACGTACTTCTACAGAAAAGTAGTAGTTGCACTGCTTTGTTCCGTTCGCGGGTTTAGAGGGCCAATAAGTCCAATCAACCTTAATAAATATTGTAATACGAGTATTAACTAACTACGCATCAAAATTACGATACATAAATTACTCGCGAAATAAACAATTATCGGCCTGCGGCAATCAGCTGTCAGAACTAACCGCTCGTGTGCTCGTTACATCATTAGTTATTACGCATCAATTTCGTTACACATCAATCAACGTTTCCTCCGTTCTTGTGCACGCATGATTGTTTGTTCTGGTCACGTGATTAGAGTTAGAACGTCTTAACGCATGCTTGGATAATATTTAAAGTTTTTAACGCCTATATCGTAAAGACGATTGATCGTAAAAGGAAATAGAAATCAGTAAGTTAATGGAGCATTTGGCTATAAATACGGATCAAAAATATGTCATACGGAATACAAAGTTGCTGCGTTTAGGAAGGTCGCGTCGATATAAAATCTAATAGATATAAAATCTATGGCAGTGGGAGGATTTACAGGAATCGCCACAAATAGCATGGATTCACGAACAGTATGTGTTGCCCCCGTCGCCAACCTTGATATTTCAAATCGAATAATTTTTGAGATAGTTACTCCGCCATCTGCCAGATGAGATTGCTCCTTTTACTTCTACTTTATGATGTGAATATTCTTGACGAAGTACACGGAAAGGACGTTTCTAGTCCTAAAAATATTACTAAAAGTATATTGTTTTAAATTGTCATTTAATCAAATTCAGTACCTGGATGACCGAGCATTGCTCGTTTTTTTTTTTAAATTACATTTATAAATTACATACTGATGAAACATAAATAACATTTTTGATCGTATTGACAGAATAGAAAAAACTGAACTGGTTATTTGAATAAGAAATCATGAGTGCAATTAGTTTTATTAAAATTTTCGTATTTTCAAAAAATACTAAAATAAAGTGCTTGAAATAAAAGATTTTGTCACAAAAGAAGAGAACTTGAAAACAAAAGGAAAAAAGCCGGACCAGACACAGGACGCGAACCACGGAACTCCGATATCACGACCGACATCCCACCTGAGCTATTACGATCGTTAGTGATCTGTCAAAATTTACCTTCTTATATTATAGCAGTTTTTTATTGCCTGAAAACACGGACAAAAGGACATTTTCTAAAAATAAATCCTAGCTATATCGATTTATTGCCCCCGAAACTCCCTTGGACACTAAATTTTATGAAAATCGTTGGAGCCGTTTCCGAGATTCCGATTATATATATACAAGAATTGCTCTTTTAAAGGTATAGGATTCTATTATTCTATGTGTATGTAGGCGAGTGTGATTCCCACTAGCATTAATTGTCGATTGCAATATTATGAGCTGATTTACCACGTGTTTTTCGGTGAAGGAAAACATCCCAAGAAAATTAGCAAAACTGGAAAATTATTTTTAAAAAAATCGGTGTTTAGTGAATTCGGCGTACTATCAATAGGGCGTCGTGTTTATATTATACATACTAATAATGCAGTCGCCATCTTTATAAATGCAAAAACTGCGTAAAGGGACTTTTTTATAGAATATCGATGACAAACGATCACACAGTCCACCTGATAGTGAGTGGAAGCTGTGACCCATACACATCTACATTTATCCTCGATTAAGGTGCAAAAAACAGATGCGTTGACCTCTAAGGACTAAGATGGAACGCCTCGTTTCTTATCTTACTATATTTACTAATATAGATATTCGAATTCACAAAACAATACTTACTCTATGCACGTGAATAAATTTGAGAAAGTATTTAGAGTGGTATAATTATAAAACCTCATAAAGGCAATCGCGAAGAGAGTCTATAATTTAAAATTACATTCGAGCAGGAAGGAAGAAAGTAAAAAGAAAATTACTTACATTACTAAATCCGTTACGCGGGAAGAAAATGGATAAGTGCGGTCGTTATTGCGGATACTGTACTTATGTTTAACCTATATTTATATATAATATGCAGATAGCTGCATAGATTTTTAAGTTATTAAACGAAATGGATTAACCAAAGTTTGCGTTTTGAGAGAAATTGAAATATAAAAAATAAGAAAATTAGATACTGGCTATAAAAGAAATTAGAAGTCCTAGGATTTATGCGTTAAACAAATAAGCTTTGTATTAAATAATAAAATAAATAAAACCAAACTATTTAAAAAAAAAACTATTTGAATACAAAATTCTAAAATCAAAATACAAAAATCTAAAATATATTTTGCATAAATTAAAAAAGGAACTTTATCTATGATCAAGAGCGCTGGTCGAGACAAAATGCTACCGAGCTATACGAATTAAAAGAGAAAGACGTTGTTTTATTTTGCTATTTTTTACACTTGTATTTCACTACACTTCCACTGCACGTGTTATTTATAAAACTCACCGAGAGCTTCATGTTGCTGCGTGTCTTCGTTCGACGCCGAAGACTGGTTGTGTTGTGTCCAGACATTCTCACCAACAAGCTTTATACTGTCCCTCCCACTTTCGGAACAGTTAAGATACGAGCAAAGAAGGGTGAACGCTTGGGCTCGATAATTTTATGTGTTAATTGTAGCTAGCATACAATTTATTGCATTCAATTTTTTTTTAAGTAGATCGATCATCGCGTCAAATGATGCTTACCTACGTCTTGCATGGATGCAGTGCTGGTATGATTATTTTAATATTCCTTAATTTTACAACGTAATAGGAAATAGCTGTGTACAGCAAATGTTGTTCCAATGCTACGGTTATTTACTTTTTCGTTGGTTGGTTTTGACTGCTTCTTTAGTCTGGTGATCGTTAATGCGACTGATCTTTGGGCTTCGGGTTGGAATCCCGTGTCGGGTCAAAATTAGTTATTGAATTTTACTAATAAGAAATTATTAGAAGCAGCCAGGAGTCAGGAAGTTGGCGGCGTTACACCCCCGTACAACCGAAAGCACATGAAGCAGTTGGTACTGCCGCCTGATCTCTCTCCGGTCGTATCGGATTACCATCCCATCGGCATTTGAGAGTGAGAGAATAGACAGTGCCTGTATGCAGGCATACATTTGGGCACTGTAATTCTGTCCTGTTTAGATGGCGCAGAAATTCGGTCTGAGTGACATTATGGTTATTTAATTAAATTAATTGTAAACGGAGTTACAGACATTGACTGTAATCTAAATCAACGTAAAGGAGATAAAATATCTTGTCTCCGAACATAAAAAAATTTTCTGCAGCGTCTCCTTACCTATTTCTGTCATTAATCAGTGCAAGAAACACTGTGCTCCTTTCTAAAGGGTATATAGCAGACTGTGGGGCATTCCATTTTAATCCTCAGAGGTGATTACGACAAGTTTGATTGTGAATGTGGTCTCTCTTACATAGGACAAACAAAACGATCAATAAATGCCCGCGTTAAAGAATACAGCTGATGTGAAGAATCGACGCTCCGAGAAGTCTGCAGTCTGTGAACAGTACAAGATCGCCCCAGTTACTTCATCAGATTTGATAGACTTCAAATCCTCGCTAATAAACACCGACTCCTTACAAATTCGCGAGGCTATTGAAATCAAAATACACTCTAATTTCAATAGAGAATATGGCTGGGTGCTATCATATGCTTGGGATCCTATAAATTATAAAAATAAATCCCGATCCAAGCACACAACTGCAAGACATCAGGGTACTACAATTTCATACTGCGTAGATCGGAATAAAAATTAATAATTTTAATCTAGAGGTAGCCGTGGTTAACTATGTCATTGATCAGTTCCCCCAGTACCATGGTTGCTGTAAAGTTATATAAATGGTCCCAGTAACCATGGGTGCTGTAAAGTGCTCGAAACGTCGGGAATATAAAATAAGCTATACGCGATATAATCCGCTTATATAACCTTAAGCTTTGCCGCCCTATAAAGCCAAACCTAAGAGGAGAACAGAGGCAAAAACACTAAGTCGTATATTAAGCAGAAAAAAAAAACAAACAAACTTTGGCAATAATTATGAACACTTTGAAAAATCAACTTAAAAAAAACTAACTACTCTATTTCATACTAAAATCGACTAAAGTATGTACTATAATATCAACTGTCGGCGACGGCGGCGAACGGTGTCTATAAAGCAGCGCCCTTTTGACCCTTTATTATTCGATTGACTGATGAAGAGCTATCGTATCACAGACCCATCTATGCAAACAAGGCTATAGTTTGTTAGTTATAAGAAAATGACCATATTAACCGGATGACCACATTATCCTCACATACTATAGTTTTATTTAAATGTGTAGTTTTAGCGTAAACAGAAGAAATCGTCAAGTTTGAAGTTAGTTCTGGATGTCCATGGGCTGCAGAAGCCAATTCCCAAGTAGACTTTAAGCTCGTGTGTCACTCCAGTTTTATAAAAAAAAAAACAGGCAAAGTAGACAATTATAGTGTATGAAGCGAAGCGTTGTAGGACGCTCAAGGGCCCCGCGGCTTGGATGATTTTTTTATATCCTTTAGGAATTAAAAAAAGGGAAAAGATCCGAGTCCTAAAATGCCTAGTCCAGGTATCTCTATATAGCTTAATCCAATGTTTACGTGGGGAAATCCTTGATACCCTCAACTGCATGGGTAACTAAGAAGTTTTACCGGACTCGTAGCGCTTAAATCATCAGCTGAGGGGGGTCCTGGGAACTGCGTTCCAAACGCATTTGGAGTAACAAAAAGACAAATTTTGATATATTTGTTTAAGAAAATAATAAAATTAAATAAAAACACAGCCTATATATTTGTGTAGTGACAAAGTACTCGTAAAAGAATCCACTAACCCTCCCGAGGAAGTCGTAAGAGGTAAATGAAGCAAGTGACGGGTAACTTTTACGTGGTAAAGCCACGCTGCAGCTATATTATGGTTGTAGATTGAATGGGTCGGTTCGACCGGGGAAGGACCATGCTCTCACAGAATACCAGCGTAAAATAACAGCTTAATACTGTAGTGTTTCGTATGGTGAGTGTAGCGATCCGGAGACCCTTTTTTACTGGAAACAAGGCATTCCATCTTAGTCCTCAGGGGTGACAACGCATCTGCTTTTTGATTCTTACTCTCTGTCTATGGGTCACAGCATTCACATACCATCAGGTGGACTGTGTGCTCGTTAATCACCCATATTCTATTAAAAAAACGGCATCTTCCTGATAACAACTTGAAATATTAAAAAAGTAAGGTTGCAAACCCGCCTGCAAAGTGTATTAACTGTGGGGGGGGGGGGGGTGGGGGTTGGGGGGTGGGGGTGTGTTGGTTGTGGTGGGGTTGGTGTGTGGTTGGGGGGGGGGGGGGGTTTTTGGGTTTTTTTTGGTGGCAAATCTCACCATTGTCACCACCGAGAACTAAGATGGAGTGGCCCATCCATTGGGCGGTAGATATACGAGGTAAATGAATGCTACCTACTAAAGTGGACTGAAAAGAAGTCCTACCACTACACAAATAAGGGTGACATACGAGCACACAGTTCACCTGATGATCAGTGGATGCTGCTCGTATATTTATCTTTAATTAAGAATCAAAATTTAAATACGTCGTCACACATGAGGACTAAGATGGGATGCCTCATTTCCAGTAAAAAGGGTCTAGTCTTACTGCTCGAAACGCAGCATTAAGCTGCTATTTGACGCTAGTATTCTGTGAGAGTGTGGTCCATCCGTGGTCTAACCGATCCATCCGTGCTACAACCATAATATAGTCGCAGCGTGGATCTACCACGTAGTATCCCTCTTCGCGTCCATCTCTTAGACATGGTGTTATAACATGACGTACCACAACACGCTTTTATAAGCTTCGCATGTCGCATATCTATTTATTTGCTATCTATTTATTTATGTAACGGAATCTTTTAATGTAATTTTCATCAAATTGTACACGGCCAATTGAGCTGAAAATTTGCATTCGTATCAAGGCCCAACGACAGTACAATAACTTAATAAATTTACCCTAGTATCCTGATCAGAATCACCAGGATAATTCTCTCTAGAATCAGCTCAACTCATGATCAATGCATGTTTTTTTAACATTATTAAAACGCTTTTTATAGAAAATTGTAAATAAAATATTTTGTATTATTACAGATACCAATTTCATGCTGATAGCTTAACAATTTGCTAAAAAATTTGATTTCGACTCATTACCTACATAACCATAGCATCTAACATCCTACATTCTACACACAATTGAATCTAACTTAACAATCTCCACGTAAAAGCAGCATTAGAGTTTATCTGTACATTAATAAGCATTTTATTATCTGTTGCGATTAATGCACAACGAGACTTAAGTGATATTTTTGCATATTCAAGAGCGAACAATTTCGTTTACCTAGCGTAATTTTTATGAGTTGTAAATTTCCATATACTTTGCTTATTTAAAATTAAGAAAGCTAAAATATAATATTCTGTTTTATATTTATAGTATGTGCATTACCGCGATAGGACGTTATTAAAACCATTCACTTTTCTATAACGTACGAACCCATGTGGTGGCGACTTAAATCTATCATCACGTCCCTTGGGTCGTGGGTGTAATAACAAACGACCATTAGATATACCAGAAGGACCTTTTGACTTTTGATAGATGGCGGTATAAATATCGTCATTCATTCATCGATTTATATCCGGTAGAACCATTTAATAGCATGAAAAGATCGGCTCTATCGGGGAAGAACCAAGCTCTCAAAGAATATCAGCAGGAAATGGCAACTCAATGCTGCTTCGTTTCGTATGGTGAGTGTAGAAAACCGAAGATCCGTAGACTGGAAACGAGGCATTCCATCGTAGTCCTCAGGGGTGACAACGCATTTTAATTCTTAACTGAGGATATATGTAGACGTTTGTGGGCCACAGTACTTACCATCAGGTGGGCCGTGTACTCGTTTGTCAATCTGATTCTATAAATTAATTGTACATCAGGGATTTAAACAACGTGTGAAATGTCTAAACCTGTCAATCGCGGTGAGTATGACAAATCTAATAACCAGAGAGGCCCACGACTACTTAGATTTTCATCGGCAAAGAAAGATAAAGAACTCACGAACGATGCGTTTTCGTGCGAGTTCGATTTTCCTTTTTGTAATCGATGCGTGGTAGAAGAACCAGTCGACATGCGATATAGCGTTAGTATTACCGCTACAGCCTACTAAAGTTCACTGCTGAACATGGGCCTCCCCCATAGATTGCCACATAGGGGGGATCATTGCCATAGTTAAAACGCTTGGCAAGCGCAGTTTTTTCTCTTTCGTCATTATTAGGAAGCAGCAGCGTCTTTTTGATTTATTTACGTCTGTCACTTCTAACGACACCCACAGGATATGGGGTAGTTGATATTCATACACCGCCACTATACGGTAGGCGGTTATGGAGTCGATAAATTTCATCACTATGTTTTCCCTCAACGCCGATCTAGTGGTAAAATCACATAAGTACATATTTTTATTTAACTGTATGATTGTATTAT